CTTGATGATTTCTTTCACGATAACCCGGATTAGGATCACCTCTCACATTGATGGAAAAATGTACAGTCCATGAATGGTCGATGAAAATCTCAAAAAATTTTATCAAAAGAATCCCATCAATGATCCTTAAAGAAAAAAGAATATGAAAAAAAAGATAGAGATAAAAAAAGGAAAACCAAAGAAAAAGATTTTCCTAATGTAAAAATTACAAGTCAAGATGGGAGTTAGAATTCAAACAAACAAACAAAGAGAGTTAAGGCTTGAGGCTATAAAACAAAGTCAATGGTCAAAATGACAAAGTCCTTGTGGCAAGCCTTAAAAAACATTCATGGATATCAACATGATATAACAACCTAACTAACAACTAAAGTGACAAAGTCCAAGTGGCATTTCCCAAAGAGATTTTTATGGACAACAAAGTGATCCTATATCATGAAATCCTTAAAACACTTTTGAGCCTCTATATCTTTTTTTTCATAAGCCCAAGCCATAGCCTACGTTACATGCTTTTACAAGTTCTTTCCGATCAAATACGGTTTGCTTAGGTTGTTGGAATCTAAAAAAAAAGATGGAGAAAAACAAGAAAATACAATCAATTGATGTGCTATTTGTCATCCTTTATGACATCAAATCATGAGTCTTCATCAACTAAATTGGGGTAAAATAAATAGAATCATTAGTCTTCATCGAGCCATAGCCTATGTTACATGCTTTTAGAAGTTCTTTCTAATCAAATACATTTTGTTTAGGTTGTTAGATTCTAAAAAAAAAAAAAGATGAAGAAAAACAAGAAAATACAATCAATCGGTGTGCTATTTATCATCCTTTATGACATCGAATCTTAAGTCTTCATCAACTAAATTGGGATAAAATAAATAGAATCAAGATATTCTCAAGAAATATTATCCTTCAAAACCAATTTTTCAAAATACTTTCTACTCAAACCTCTTTCATTTACCTAAAATGGACTTATCATGAACCAATTACCCTTAAACGCATAAAATGCCAACTTTTATACAAATTTTTCATAATATAAACACCTTTTTGATTGCTTAGCCTAACCTTCTTAAGGAAATTATATGATAGCATTTGAATGTCATGTTTTGACTTCTTGATCACTCAACTTGAACATCTTCATGAATGAAAATACTTTTATCGAATATCTCTACATTTCATTCAAATAATCCGAATTGTTTTGAGAGAGTCATTCAAGTATATGGCTTATTCCATGAAAACCAAGTGTCTATTCAATCATCTTTCTCAAAAGATGATAAAAATTTCAAGACTAATTTGTAAATTGTGATGCAAACATTAAAAGACGAACACCTAAACATAAACGAGTGATTGTGCCAAGAGAATGGTATATATTTGATCTCGACCAGTACTTGGGAGCATCTAGTGACCCATTCTTGAATTGTAATCCATAAAATTGAATAAATATGGGGCAAGACCAAAGGCCTAGCAACTAAAATTGACTTCAACAAATTGGTCAAACAATAGCATCATGCTAACTAGAGGAACAACTTTTAAGCATAAATCAAAGTAGTCAAGACCATCAAGTTAAGGGGCAAAGAGCGAGTCTTAAGAGAGGATTTCAACTCGGTTAGAGCTTAGCAAGCAATCGGATTTGTTGGGCATTGTCTCATAAAGGTGGATCATAATAGGTGGTGGGTTATCACCTTCGATGTTCGAAAAGACCATCTATTTCGGTTGGTTTGAGAAAGTAAAAAAGACTCATGTTCATAATGAATAGTGATCTAGGCTCGAGGGGTAAGAAAATTTTGACAATACTATAAGATAAGATCTATTACACAAGTTTAGATTAAGGTACCAAGGGGAGAGTTGAGTGCTAACAAGGTAGGGCGACCTATGTTTCTCTCAAGTAAGGAACTAATCATTGTTATCAACCTTATTGATACATTTCAAGGACATCGACTCAAATAAAAAGACATAACAATCATTCTCTTTTTTTAGGTAAGGTTGCCTAATTTAATTCATAGTTTATGTAGGTTTATCTAACGATTATCTCATTTTCGGGTAAGGTTGCCTAGTTGGTTCATCATTCGGGTATGATTGCCTAATGATCTTCTCATTATCCTAGGAGGTTACCTATTTAGTCCATCATTTATACAAGGTTGTCTTCATTTTTCGGGTAAGGTTGCCTAATTTAGTTTATCACTCTATGCAAGGTTGCCTAACAATCATTTGATTTTTAAGTAGAGTTGCCTATTTAGTCAATCGTTTAGATAAGGTTACCAAACGCTTATTTTTCGGACAAGGTTACTAAATTCGGTTTATCACTTAGGTAGGGTTACCTAATGCTCTTTTCTAGGTAGGGTTGCTAATTTATACATCGTTTAGGTAGCATTACCTAACGATCTTCTCATTTTCGGACATGGTCGCCTATTTAGTTCATCGTTTAGGTAGGGTTGCTTAATTGATCTTCTCATTTTTCGAGCAAGGTTGCCTAATTTAGTTTATCATTCTAGGTAAGATTGTCTAACGATCATTTCATTTTCGGGTAGGATTGCCTACTTGATCAATCGCTTAGATAGGGATACCTACCAATCTTTCTAGGCAAGGTTGCCAAATTTCGGTGTACCATTCAAGTAGAGTTGTCTAATGATCTTCTCATTTTTGGCGGGTTTGCCAACCCCATTCATCATTTTAAACGAGTTTTTTAGCAATCATTGCATATTTAATTTTCAAGGTAGGTTTCCCTCTAATTTGGTTATGTAATGCATATTTAATTTTTAGGGCAAGTCGCCCTTTAATTGGTCATGTATTGTATATTTAATTTTTGTGTACTCGCATATTTAATTTTCGGGACGACATGACCTCTAAGTTGGTCGTATACTCGCATATTTAATTTTTCAAGTATTTCACATTTACTTTTCCAAGGAAAATGCCATTTACCATTTGATTTAAATTTTTTTCTATTTCCTTCTTTGCAAGCTCATTAAGCAAACTCAAATGCGAAGCTCAAATTTCGGTTAATGTTTACACCGTAAGCATTGCAAAGAGGGAGCAACTATCATACTTCAAAATTTTACAAATTTTTATTTTATTTTAGTTTCTTTAGTTTTTTTTTTTTTAATTATTTAGGTTCATGTTTGCTTTACATAAAATCAAAACAAAACACAAAAAAAAAATTTATTTATTTAGAATTCCGTATAAAATTAAAAAAAAATTACAAAAGGAATAAAAATACAAAAGAAAATACAAAAGAAAAAAATAAAGATGAAGGGACGAGTTCTCATTCGTGTAAGTTCTTGAATTACCTCCTGGACAAGCCTTTCCACCACTGCTACATAGCCACCCTAAAACTTGCCCCGCACCCTTACTACCGTAATTTGCGGCCCACAACTTCCTCTTACGTAAGTCAATAATTCTAGCCTCCTTTACATCCCACAATCTCCACCACTTGCAGCCTCTCCCTATTATAACCATCTCCTCGATAGCCTACAACCTAAACTTTTCTCTTTTTCTTTGTGTTCTCGCAGCTCTAAGACATGTGTAAGCAATAACGTTATATGGATTTGATTTGATTCTTCTCAAATCTCAACAAAAAGTCTATCCATGATCGATCCGACCTTATTTTTCCTTTTGCATATCCGAGCCAACACACAATTACTTAATTACTATTTTTCCTAAAATCAAACAAAATTTCAACAAAGTCACCCCTATAATTTGGACATTTTCCAATTATCAAAGACTCTATCTACACAAAAATAAACCAAGACCGACACCTATCTCGAATAATCCATTTAAATTAAAACTCAATCCTTGTCTCCATCACAACGAACATTAATACCACCTTATTTCTTCTTAATTCTCGGAGGTCTCTAACCCCTCGAGTTCGATAAGATATACGTATCTCAAGCACACTTAAAAATTATCGTAAAATAAATTCAATTTCGGATGGATAAAATTTTATCATAATTTATCAATAACCAAACCTAATTAATTCAAAACAATTTCAAACATAAAATAAAAACATACTCAATTAAATTTTAAATAGAATAAATTGAACGAAAGTTAACACAACAACTCAAATAGGAAAAAAAAATGCAACTTGATATTCTTAAATAGTAAAGATTAGAATTGACACACTTAAAATTTTTTTAAAAAAAAAATTGATAAATTTATACACCAAAAATATAATTAACTCTTTTTCTTAATAACTTTCCTAATACATGTAATTGTATTGATACATAAAATCTATCCAAATATCTCTCCAGTTTTATCATTTTTATCAATTAAATTCTTCTTCATTACAAAATATCCCCAAGTAATCTTAAACATGATATGACCGGATGTCTCAAAATCCAGCCATGATTAGAAAAAATAACTAGATGTCGAAACATTAATCTGTTGACTTATAAACGGAAAAATAAAAAATTCGTTACTGTCAATAGTCATTATCGGTTTGGTATGACTGCTCAAAAGTTAGAATTGAAATCATTACAAAAATCTCTAAGAGCTGCTATAGTAATAGCAATAAATATGAAAGGGAAAATTACAACTAGAATCATAATCTGAGATTAATTGGTAGTTTGATTTCCAGCATTTGTTATTGCTTACTGTTATTATTATTATTATTATTATTTATATCATTTCCTTCATTGTACTTGTCTGTGGAGATTTTAATTTAAAAAGAAAATTAGCTGTAAAAGGAAGCTTTCCTTACAAGGATATATAATGCCTAACCCAGTAGTTGTTGCACAAAGAAAGAAATGATTGAGAAATTAGACTTCACGTCATTAAAGAGGTCCTCACGCCCAGCCACACAGACTAGAAAATTTCCAAAATAAATAAAAAGAAGATTTTTATTATTATTATTATAGAAGAAAATAAATTAAAAAGAAAAAACTATTCTTTGTTTTACACACACACCATTAGTGTGTGTGTATATATGTATCCTCAGCAAATCATTCCTATCAGAAAAAAAAAAAACTTGTCAAAGTCCTTGCCCAGTTGCCCTTAGGCAGTGAATCAATATGGGAGATGGGTTTCGTAGTTTTTGGTCCTTATTAGCTTATGCTCTTGGCCTAGTCCTCTTAGTTTCATGTCTTCAACAATCCAATGCCACACTTTTATATGATAACTTCGGTGGTTCTGGCTGTGATTTTTTCCAGGGTAGTTGGGTTCAAGATGATACGTATCCATTATATAGCACATCCGCCTGCCCTTTCATAGAGAAGGAATTTGATTGCCAGAGAAATGGACGGCCAGATAAATTATATCTCAAGTATAAGTGGAAGCCTAGCGCCTGTGAACTGCCAAGGTATTCGATTTGTCATCTCCTTGCTAGCTAGTTAGTTTTACACTATTTAGAAATGGTCTAACTTTGTCTACTGATTTGATTTGCGCGGTGGTATATATAACGAATATATAGGTGACAAACTGTCGTCAGCTATGAGATTTTGTGACGAAGAACACATCTTTTGCTGACGATTTTGGTTTGTTACCTATGCCCCCATTTGTTGGAGTGCATTGTTTTCATATGATTGGTTGTGGTAGGAAACAGACATGGATGCGAAAGGGAATTTCTTTAAATGGTTGTTACCCCTAAATTGGAAGGGAAGCTAATTTCTTTGTAGGAAATTTACATGGGTTTCTCTTGGATGCATTCTTCCCCATATCAATGTTTACGTACTGGTTGCCAGATGGTGATGGATTAAAAGTCTAAAATTTTGAGATGGACTAAAAGTCTAAATTAGTTTATGTTTATAATTATATGTATTATCTAAGTTGTTACATGATCAGGATGTAAGACCTCATGAAGATTTCTTTCTTGTGGTGTAGATTCGATGGCAAGGATTTCTTGACAAGATTCAAGGGTAAGAAGATATTGTTTGTAGGGGATTCTCTAAGCTTGAATCAATGGCAGTCACTCACATGCATGCTGCACATTTCTGCTCCTCAATCAAACTTCACCGTTGGGAAAAAGGGAGGCCTCTCTACATATTCAGTACGGGTAAGTGTCTAATGCACACTAGTTACATATCTTTCACATATATTCATTATTCTCAATACTAGCCATAAAGTCCTTGAGACGAACAGGAATATTATGTAACAGGAAGTTCTAAAATAGTTATTCATATACCAGAATAGCTAAAAATTATGTTAAATTTCAATGCAAAAAAAAAAAAAAAGAAGAAGTGAAAACTTGTGAAATTAATTGTTTTGTGATAAGAAATGATTTTAACACGATTTGCAATGTCCGAATTTAAGGAGAGATTATTAGAAAATTTAAAATAAAATGTGTAAATCTACCAAGAAAAAAATATAAAAGTTTATACGTATTAAAAAAAATTAATTAATTATTAATATAAGCAATTTCATATAATTACTTATTAATTATCATATGCATGTTTGTGGTGCGTATTATCTTGAGTTCCGATTTGAATGTATATGAGCAAGTATATATTTATTCATATGGTAATTAATTTGCAGGATGATGACGTTTCTGTGAAGCTCTCTCGTAATCCATTTTTAGTTGATCTAGTCACAGAAAAGATAGGGAAGGTTCTAAAGCTTGATTCCATTGAAAATGGGAAGCACTGGAAAGGATATGACATGCTTATCTTCAACACTTGGCACTGGTGGACTCATAAAGGAAGTCTTAAGGCGTAAGATAATAATTCTATATATATATATATATATATATATAAGTCTCATGACTGCATTTAGTTGTCCCAATTTAAATATCAAATATATTCTTATAATTGTTCGTACACATTCAACTTGTTCTTGAGCACATACAAATATTGTCATGCGATACAAATTAATTATGTTTAAATTAATACATCAAGTTCAATATCTATTAATTATTATTTGTGCTAATAATTAAATATTATACGATTGAGAAGGCTTTTGGTTGGAGTTTCAGATGGGACTTCATTCAAGATGGAAAGACAATACAAAAAGACATGGATCGTTTGGTTGCTTACAAAAAGGGACTCACTACATGGTCCAAGTGGGTTGACGCTAACATTAATCCTAACATCACCAAAGTATTCTTTCAAGGCATCTCTCCCACCCACTACGAGTAAGCACTACGCACTTCTCTTTCTTTTCACCACCACCAGCTGCTCTGATGAAGAATGACCATGTACATGCATGCAAGCTTTTTCTTTAAAAAACTCCAATCCATTATTTTTATTATTATTTGGATTAATTCTGGCTGTGCGTTCAGTGGCAATGAATGGAACGAAACCAAGTCAAACTGCAATGGACAAACCCAGCCATTAATTGGTAAGACATATCCCGGAGGGTCACCACCACCAGCGGCTGTGGTAGAGGAAGTTTTGAGTAACATGGAAGTCCCTGTTACACTTCTTGATGTGACAACATTATCACAGCTGCGAAAGGATGGGCATCCGTCCATTTATGGAATTGATGGGGAAAAGGGAAATGATTGTAGTCATTGGTGTCTTGCTGGGGTTCCAGATACTTGGAACGAGCTTTTGTATGCGATTCTTGTCTCTCGAGTGGGGACAAACAATATGGAGCTTCGGTCGATAGTGAAAAAATAAAGACCAACTCCATTGATTTTGTGACTACAAAACAATAGAAGACACAGTAGAATAGGTCAATAGTAGTATCGATTTTCAGTTGGTCTCAAAACAAAATTATGGAATACGAGTTTGATGTAAGAGAAAGATTGAGAGAAAGCATTATGATATATCGTGATATATTACTTCCCATATTTTATTGAATTCGTTTATAAGAATTCTTGATCATTGATCATCTCGCTCGATGCTTCTTGTTCTTTCTTAAGTTTTCTCCAGATTCAGGAATAGTTGTGTTTCTAAGTTTTTCTCTTATTTTTTTTTATTTGTTTATTTTACCATATATAGTTGGACTGGTGTATATAATACAAGTATATAGTCCAATGCACATTTATCGTACAATCAATTAATTTATTGTTGTATAATTTTTGCAAAATTTGAAAACTTATTTATTTATTTTATTTTATATAACTCATGCGCCTAACACACACCAAAAGCTTAGTTTATTAGAATTTAAATCTATAATTTTTTACAAGAAATCATTATCACTAGTTTACAAACTCTTTGATCAAAATTTGTGAATAATGCATAAAAAATCTCTTATATATAACCAAAAAGTCCAATTGAGAAAAATAAAATAATAATAATAATAATAATTGATAAAAAAAAATATTCTGAGTTTTTCATATATTTTTATATTTTTAATTACATTTTTTAAAAAAATTTATAATATTCAATTTATTATTTTGATCAATTTCTCAGATTATGGATCAATTTTTTAATCATAATACCTTTTCTTGAAATGCAAAATAAATAAATAAACATTTAAAGTCACATGATGTTCATTTGTTGTTTTGAACCTTAAAGGGTTTTTAATAATAAAAAAAATTTATGATAAAAAAATTGACGGAGAAAACAGATGGAATATTTTAAAGATTTTTAATGACAGATGGATGTGATTAGATTAAAAAAAAAGTTGGAATCCTATTCCCTAAGAACTTGCCACGTCATATAAGTGTAGTCAAGTCTAATGTTGTTAATTTGTTATTGCACAAAACAGAGAAATAATCCTAGCAATAAAGACAGAAGATTTTATTTCCTCTAAAATACCTGAAACAATTGAACCACCTTCCCTCAATTTTTCATAATTCCCTTCTTGCTTCTAGTAATAAATGTAGGAGATTTTATTACCTCTAAAGTACCTGAAACACTTGAACCTTCCCTCAGTTTTTCTTCATTCTTTTTGCTTTCTGTTTTTAGCTTTTATTTTTTATGCTTTTGTACAAAACTCCGATGGCCTTTTGGCTTGGCATCTTAGGTTATCTGTGTCTGGTATTACCAAACCAAGTGCTTGGTTATGATGACAAAGGTTATTATGAACAAAGAAAGAGCTCCAAGAACATTTGCGATTATTTCCAAGGAAGCTGGGTTTACGACAAAACATACCCACTTTACGATTCAACAAGTTGTCCTTTCATTGGACAAGGATTTGATTGTCAGAAAAATGGCAGACCTGATGGAGATTACCTCAAATACAGATGGCAGCCTACTGGTTGTAACATTCCAAGGTGCTTTCTTTTTCTCTTCCCCTCTTTCTTGTCATTATTGTTTTTATTTTATTTCTTTCATTTAATTGGTAACGGGCCTATGAAGTGAGTTATCTTTTCAATATATATAGACATATATGCACACAGTAGAGGTCCTACTGGCGCTGCCATGGCTGCAAACTTGTGTGGGAAACGGAGGTAGAAGATGAAATAAGATTTATGGGTTTCTTGATTGGGCTGGACTAGCAAGTATGGCTTAAGAAAATGGTAGCATACTACCCCCAATCTATGGGGGCCAGGCCCAAAATTTGTATGTTTCATTCCTACCAGGCTACCACACTAGATTTTGTACAGAAAATCATGAGACTGTTACGTAAATAAGAGCAGATAGATAGCTCGGTAATAAATTTCAAACAAACTAAAAAATGGATTGATTGTAAAAATAAATAAATAAATAAACATAGAGTTCATAGAAGAAGAAAAAAAGTGATAATGAATTTGTTGATTTGAGGAGTAAATTGCTTCATTTAATTTATTTTTTACTATCCCTTTACTGTAAAACCCCTCGATTGCTAAAGAAATATCATCATATATATGGTTGATTAGTGACTAATTTTGTTTGGATAACAAAATCATGATATATACACAATAGATTCAATGGGCTGGATTTCTTGGAGAGATATAGAGGCAAGAAGATCATGCTTGTTGGTGACTCTCTAAGTAACAATATGTGGGTGTCCCTAACGTGCCTGCTTCATGCATCAGTTCCAAATTCTAGTTACACCATAGACAGGAAAGGACTGCTCTCAACATTTACAATGCAGGTATACATTTGAGTTTTATTTTCTTTGCTTTTCTTTTGCACATCAATCCCTCTCTTTAAAAAATAAAACCTCATTTATTCTTTTGGTCTTGTAGGAATATGGGCTCTCGGTTTTGTGGTTGAAAAATGGGTTCCTCATAGAAGTGGCCTATGAAAAAATCGGTAAGGTTCTGAAGCTGGATTCCATCACTACTGGCAACCAGTGGCTGGGAATGGACATATTGATCTTCAACTCCTATCATTGGTGGTTTCACACTGGACGCTCTCAAACGTATGATGAACATTTCTACATGAAAATGAATGAGTGACCAATTAAGCGTACCAGAAATTATCAGGTAGTGATCAGCTAATACAGGAATGTTCATGTTGCAGGTGGGACTATTTTCAAGTAGGTGACAAGATAGTTAAAGAGATGGATCGTTTGGAAGCCTTGAGAATTGCATTAACGACATGGGCTACTTGGATTGACCGTAATATTGATCCTTCGAAGACTAAAGTATTCTTCCAAGGAGTTGCTGCCGTTCATATAGAGTAATATTTCTTTACTTCAATTCGACAACTGAACAGATCCAATTTCCTGGCAATGTTTGCTAATCTTGATTTAAAATTCTTTTTTCAAGTCCTAAGGAATGGAAGGATCCGAATCCAAGTGCGAGGACATGCATTGGACAAACTAAACCAATTGAAGGACCAAAGTATCCAGGACCTAGTCATCCAGGAGAAGCTGTTGTGAGAAGTGTGATTAGTAAAATGGCAAGGCCTGCCTATCTGCTGGATATTACGTTACTAACGCAGCTGAGAAAAGATGGCCACCCATCTAGCTATGCTGGAAAAGGCAGCGCATTAAATGACTGCAGTCACTGGTGTCTTGCTGGTGTTCCTGATACTTGGAACCAGCTGCTATATGCTCCATTGCTACAAAATTAAGTAATTTTCAGTTTTATTTTTGGCTTTAAGATTAACGTCAAGAAATACATACTGAACCCTGGCCTCAATAAAGAACTTACTGTGTAATCCATGTGATATGGCTGTAACGGATTCGAATTTCAATGTACCAAACATATAATTTGTTAGATGAAAGACCTATTAATGGAAATTATATTAGAGCTATTTATGCAGAATATCTTGTAGGTCGCCTGACATATGGTATTGTCAACGGATTCTTGTGATATTTTTTACCAAACAATATTCAATTGCAAGAGCTTAAAATTAACAATGTTGAATTTTTTAATTTTTTAATTTTTTTTTTTTTTAACGGAATGAGGGCAAGGCCTTGAGGAATACAATTATATCATCCTGGAATACGAAATTCCATAATTATCCTCTAATACGAACAAGTCTTAAACAACTACAAGAGTTTTTAAAAAATAATGGATTTTTAAAATGTAGGGAATGAGTATAATTAACTAATCAATCTATGCATCTTTTTCTATCATGATAAATGTGGCGAAGTTGAATTTTCCAAAGACGCTACAATAGCTGACGGATGGAGAGGTTAGCTGACTATAAAATGATGTCCAATGATGTTTATTGATTAGAAAATCAATTATCAGTTTAGAATCAACTTCAAATTCGATCTTTCTGAATCTATTATTTCAAGCTAGCTCTAAGCCAATCAAAATTCCACACAATTCTGCTTTCAACACAGAACACATATCAATATAATAAGCAAAGCCATACAACCAATTACCTAAACAGTCTTGAATCAATCCCGATGTTGAAGGCAAACTTTGGTAGCAACAACCAAACCATTTGTTTTAAGTTTCACAGATCTTATCAAAGGAAACTTCCGCCGAATAAGTGGTTTTTTCTTGGTAGAACTGAGTGAAGTTAAGACTGATTTGCAAGACACTATTTTTGTTGCATATGAGCGTAAGCAAAAAGGTGAATTATTTAAAAAGAAAGCTTCTGGGTTAAAAATAACTTCATTACGCTATAAGCAAAGTCTCCAACAGACCACCCCAAACCAAATATTCCATGGAATTCCTCCTGCCACCACTCTGGTACAAATCAAGTCCTGAAGCAACCAATCACTGAGTTTAGCTAAAAAAAAAATGGAAATAAGATCACACACATTGCACCCCAACCATTTCATCTTCGCCTGCGGATAGTCTCTCAATACATGTAAAATTGATTCTTTCGCATTAGCACGAATCCCGTAATTATCATCCTCAATTAGATGCCAAATCATTCTTTATTCATTAGTGAGTATTCTACCATGTTCAATCAATCAAAGAAATGCCTGAATGCATTCAGGTCCACCCTAATGCCAAATAACCTGCCATAAAGAATTAAGAGGATGCCAGCAATATGTGCTAAGCATTTCATAAGTTGAACTAACATAAAATTTTCCATTGTTGGTTGCATTCCAAGATACACAATCAGCACCTAAGTATGCATTAGGAAGTTGGATACTAGTAATCTTTAGGCAGATAGTTTGAGGTGAAAAGAAGGAGAATTTTTCTCACCACTATTGACCAGATGCTGTCATATAATCCTTCGACTTTTGTATTATGATAAGAAGAGGGAAGATTATCAGAAATAAGATTGATAAGGGTATTAGTAACTATAACTCAACTATTCAATCATAATTGGATTCTACTTCCATCTGGAATAGACCACCTCATCCCTTTAATTAAAGAATGCCAAACTGAAGTGATCTCTTTCTAAACCATAAACCTGTATTGAGAGTTAAGGAAGTTTGGTAAAGAACTGAAATCTTGCTAATATTTACTATAAAGCACCTGAACCTAAAAAGCATTACTGTTAGTCAGCAGACTCCATCAGGAAAACCTCATTAGTGATTTTGACATTTTGTAATCCAAGGCCACCTCTATGCTTGGGTTGACAAACTAAGTTCCAGCCTACTATATGAGTTTTCCTTCATTTCTCTCTTGAACACCATACAAAATCCATGCACTGCTTCCCTGGTGCATAAAAAATGGCAATAGAAAGATGAGTGGATTGCATAGCATAAACAAGAATTGTTGATAATACTGATTTAGTTAGAGTGATTGTTCTTGCTGGGGAAAGTTGCTGAGCTTGCCATCTTGAAATTTTTCTCTGGACTTTTCAATAATATATCTGTAAGTCTATTTAATAATATTGCCATGTATCATTGGAACCCTCAAGTATTTACCAAACTTGTTAGTAGACCAAAACCTGATATTGAGGTGATATTCCGAATTGTTTGGAGAATAAAAAAAATAGCCTGAGATCTCATAAAAATTCTCAAGAACTTGCTTAATTATTCTGATTTGAGAAGTATTGGTTTCAGCAAAAATTATATATATAAGATCATCGGCAAAGAAAAGATGAGAAATAGCAGAACCAACTAGGTTGAGAGTAACTGGCTTCTAATCTCCAAGCAAAACAGATTGATTAATCATCTAGCTCAACTTCTCCATACACAAAACAAAAATATATTCAGACAGTCGATCTCTTTGATCGATACCCCTTGATGGATAAAAAACCTCAAAAGTCACCTCATTCCAAGGAATTTGTAGAGAAGAGGTAGATAGGTACTTCATAATAAGAGATAATATTACATCCAAAAATTCAACATCCCAAAAAGTCTCTAGTATAAAATCCTATCTCAATCTATCATAAGCCTTCTCCAAGTCCATCTTAATAGCTGTAAACCCCTTTCTCTTCTTCTTACGTCTCATCATGTGAATAATCTACTAAGCTATAATGTTGTCATCGATATTCCTCCCAAGTTCAAAACTAACTTGTGTTAGAGAAATTAAGTGTGAAAAGATTAGTTTAATCCTATTTATCAAAATATTAGTGAGGATTTTGTAAGACACATTACACAGTCCATGTGATATGGCTATAATGGATTCGAATTTCAATGTACCCAACATATAATTTGTTAGAAAAAAAAGACCCATTAATGGAAATTATATTAAATCGATTTACGTAGCAAATGTTGTAAGTCATCGGACGTATAGCATTCTCAATTGGTTTTTATGATATTTTTACCAAACAATATTCAATTACAAGAGATTAAAACCAAGAAACACCAATTTTGAAAGAAAGAGATGACGAATACCTGAAGTCAACATTACTTGTTTAATTCTTAGCAATGTCAAAAAAAAAAAAAAAAAAAAAAAAAAAAAAAAAAGGGGCAATTAGCGATGGAACATTCCATCATTAATTGCCCTTATTCCATCGCTATTCATGTTTAGTGACGGAATAGCTACGGACTCGCTAATTCTCTTGTCACTAATTTTTGTGACGGAATATCCAATTCGTCATAAATTTTAGCAACAAAAAATCCATTGCTAAACGAAAAAAAAACCGTCGCTAATCTTCTCATGGGATTTGTCATCTCGTTCGTAGCTAATCTATCCCTATTTCGTCGCTAGTTTTAAAAATAAATTTCTCACTAGTCCATTGTTATTTCGTCGCTAATTTTAAAAATAAAGTTGTCGCCGATCAGTTCTTGATTCCGTCGCTAATTTGAAATTCAATTTATCGCTAGTCCATCGCTATTTTTTGCTAATTTTAACTAATCCGTCGTTATTCCGTAACTAATTTCAAAAATGAATTTGTCACCGTCGTTATTCTGTCGCAAATTTGGAAAATGAATTTTTCCCAATTCCATCACTTTTTTTACATTTTTTAATTGTTTTTTAAATTATTAATATGACATTTAGTATTTAATATTAATAATTATAAGTAATCATGTATATATGAAAAATAAAATAATATTAACAATATCATTTAAGAATACATTTCTAAAAAAGCAACAAAACAAAAAAATAACCGAATATTATATCACTCATCTTGTTCATCTAATCCTATATCCTTATCCTCATACCGTGTGGAGGGCTCAACTGGAGGATTGACTAGAGGCCGAACTGGAGGATGAGTGGAAGGAATGGTAGATTGCCGAATGATCAACGGATCTATAGGCAGCCCGGATGTTTGTGCCGACCTCATCGATAAGGATGCCATCAAATCATATCAAGATTTCATATTATGAATAGTCTAATTTTTCTCTAAGATCCGGCTTTTAAGCTCGTGTATTAGCACTCGCATCCCCCCATCGCTTCCTTCATAACCTCGTAGTCCCTCCAAAGAACCGATCGTGTGCTCATACTATAAAATCTTTTTTCTTCTCCCTAACAACCTATAGGTATATGGCATTACGGTCTACTTCGACTCTAAGATTCCGGCCTCCTCCGAGCCGCAACTTCCTTATTGATAAGCTACTCCACAAGGTCCTGCGTAATCAAAATAATAATATTATCATTACAGGATTAAAATAAATTATAGATTATATTTTCATATTTAAAATTTAAAATTGAAAAATACCGACCTTTGTCAATCGGGATCGCATATCGACAAATGAACCATCACTACGCTTGTGAGTCATTTGGAACAACTCAAAACTTATTGGTCGACGACCCAATTTTGCTACCTAAAAAAAATCATTACAAACAATATGAAAAGTAAATTAAAATGTTCTGAAATAAGTAAATAATAATAAAGAGTGTGCAATTTACCAAGCGATGAGTGTGCTCTCCCGAAGATATTGAGCCCTTGTATGTCCGGAAGGACTCGAACCAAAACCATCGGTCTCGACAATCGGTTCCCTAATGCTTGCTCTAAAAAAGCCATGCGATCAAGTTTCATGAAATCTACTTGTCATGCATCCCATGCCTCCTCACTTATATATACAGATTGGTTGCTCTTCAAACCGATCTTGTATACGAAGTCGACATAACATTTCCCGGCAATACCCTCCTACCCATCTTTAACAAGTCCATCGATGTTTACGTCCCATTCAAAAAAATTTTGCACAAACAAAAAAATTTGTATAATTTATTTGATGAGAAATTTTTTTTAATTATAAAGAAAATTGATAATACTTTACTCGAAATTCACTAAAGTAGAATTCTTTAGGGACGTTGGTGATA